TTTTTGTCCTCTTCTGACCTGCCCATAGCAGTAAATACATCTGGCTTTACAGGTAAGAGAATGCAAAAAAATCAGTCTAAATCATCATTAAATTAACTTCTTCATGTATGTAACCTGTGGAAAACCACCACATCTATGATAATGTGGCATAAAATAGCTATAAGAAATTGTGTAGGATAAGCTGGAAAAAATTATTATACCTTATTACTGCTGTCACCCAATAAGAGCTAACAACCTTCATGCTCCCATCACACACCACTATTTCATGAACACGCTCTTTGTACTGGAGTTAGCCAGGCTTGCCAGAAAAATACTTTCTCCTCATCAAATTGGTATGAATGGTGATTTCCAAAACTGAAACAAGTGCAAATGAGCAAATGTCAGTTAGCATGTATCAGATATTTTCAGTATGTGTGCTATTTAAATGCAGTATTATATATCATGATCATTTGCTTGGTGAAGTAATAGAAGTGTTTAACTTCTTGTAGATCTCTGCTGACACATAGTAATCTTTTAAAGGGAATATATTATAAAAAAATAAACATTGTCCATAAAATGTTTGCAGATTAATATTCATTGTCTCCCCTTGAGCCACAATCACTTAATTACTATTAGAGATCTTGAGATAAAAACCAGTATGAGCCTGCTTCATGACTCAACCTATTCCCATTGAGTTTAAAATCAATACACGCACAAAGCATCACTGATAATTTTATCCTGGGAATAATCAGTGTTGGTAATAGTGTTTGGGGCATGCTAAGATGTTTCTCTTCTCTTCTTTTGTTTAATCATTTACCTGTAAAAGCCCGCACTACCTTTAACAGCAGGCACGATGCACATGCAACCTAATAGTCACTGTGTGAGACAGGAAAAAACATCTTCTGGGTGGAAAAGATCAAGTTCCTAACTCCAGTGTCACTGAATTGTGCTTTTCCTGTGTACCTATAGACAAGTCACAGTCTAAACTTCTCACGCGTGCTGCACACTGACTTCAGATTTGGTATTTACGCACGCATTTTAAGAGGCTTAATTTACTTAATCTCATTAGTTTTTCTTCCATACCTACTGAACAGGGAATGGAAACAAGCAGTATTATTCATAAAAACCCTACACACGTGCACGTCCATACACGTGCATATATACACAGCAACCAATTCACCAGGAATCTTGCTCCTGCGGTATGAATCATATTGCCCTTTCGCTCTTCGCTGCTCTTCTCTGTCCACGCTTCCTTTTTTACTCCAGGAAAGCAAAGAAGTTTTTACCCACCCATCATACTTTACTTTATCCACTCTTTGAAAGCTTCTCTTCTCAAGGCCTGTGTATATTGCGCTGGCACGCTACCAAAACCCGCTAACAAATGGCAGATTAAGTGGAAACACGGAAAAGAATTTCAAGCATGTATTGTACTTGCTTGGAGTTCAGCGTGCAACTTTTAAGACGAGGGCTGCCCTCTAAACAGGCAGGCCTGGGAATTCAGCTGCAAAACAATTACAGATGCAAGGAAAATACCTTTCCTCTGAGAAAGAAACTTGATGATGTTCCGCAGTCTTCCGCAGGGTACGTTCACTGTGTGCTCTGGAAGAGCTCAGCACAGCCTGTGCTTTCTTGAGACCCCAGTTTCCATCTCCAGCACTGTTCTCCGAGGGAGTTATCTCATATTAAGTAGAATTTTTCTTATGTCAGCCTCTTAAAGACGCAGGAGCCTGTAATCCTTTCCATTCACGACCGAAACAGCCCCACTATACCCAGCTGCTGTTTCTGTCTCAAGATACAAGAATGACAAGGCGCTCGATTCAGTTCTTGCAGATTATCAGCAGTCAATTATCAGCTGGACAATGAAATTTCCAGTGTCGTGCCTCTATGTAGTTTAGTTACTTGTGTTTCCTTGAGGAACTATGTTGGCTGCATGGCTATCTTACTCACCGTTTAGAAGCCTGGTTTAAAAAAGCCCTGTTTACAGCATCAAAACAAATATACTCAGTGCAATTTCCAAACCTGCCTAGCAATGGCCCAACCCCACTCTGAACGAATATGCTGGCAAAATCACCACCAGGGCCGGTGGGTGCAGGTGAAACAAAGTTGAGCTTTAGCACAACAGTTCTGCCCACGTTATCTGAGATTTCCTTTTCTTTCCAAAACCAACCTGGAATGTTTGCATAGGGTGTACAGTAGAAGGAGACTCTCCCACCACTGATTACACTAAACTTGCTGTGTACATGTTTTAAAAAAAAAAAACAAACTTGCTCACATTATTCTATCCCATTTGCCTTCTGCATAGTTCCACTCTGTCAGTCATCTCGAGAGAATAAAACATCCCAGTCCACAGTCCAGCAAAGCAATTGAGAAGACAGGACCAGTGGATGGGAAATACATCCCATAAGCCAGGGCTGATGTTCTCAAGGCCACAAGATGTAGCGTGCACATCCAGAAATCAGGGAAGGTGTACGGACAGCAACTCCCAAATCGAAAAGTAGAACACTTTTGCACTCCGGTGTTCCTCAAAAAACTGTGGGTCTCACTGTTGGCTTCAGAGGAACTTTTGTCTTACTGCATCAACTAAAAAAAAAAGAAGATGGACCTGATGTATGAACTTATACTGACTGGTTCAAATTCCTCCATAGTTTATCAACCCTAAAGTTAATAAAAAAAATGTGACTCTCTTTAGTCTAATAGTTAATTTTCAGCTTTAACTAATCTGAGCTCGTGACTGATTTTGGAACTGCAAGAATTATTATATGAAAGCTAAGATTGATTATTACTGTCCAAAGACACAGAGTAATTATGCCTACTGAAAAAAAATTATTACTTCTATAACAGGTGGAACAAAAGAAAACTGAAGGAAAATAAACAGCACTGAGGACATCAATACATCTGCTCTGTATCTGAACATCCTTCCAAATAAGTAACTGAAATGAGATTGAAAGTGCAACCCAAGAATAGTACAAATACAAGAATGTCTGCATTGAAATTCTGTAACTTTTCTTTATTCACTGTGATACATTCAAACAAAAGTGCTCCAGATAACAGCCATAAAGTAAAGGAAATTAAAATAAAAAGGCAGAAAAAGACCATCAGATACATATGGTGATTATTCATATTTCAAAGCATTAGTAACTGCTTGTATCTGAGTGCACCAAAAGCCCACGAGGGTCCATGTTTTTGTACGCTGCACCTATACAAATAATAATCATAGGCAGCTCTAGCAAAAAATGTTTTTCAGAACTAGAGCCAAAGCCATCACAAAGATAAAGCACCATCAGGCATATGTTTACAAATGCCATAGTAATTAGTAGAGTGTAAGAGAGGCTTAGCTGAACTAACATTTTCCTTGTATAGCATAGGGAAGCTCTGCTTAGATTCACTCCTTCCCAGCTCTGCCCTTTCACACCAGGGACTTGCATTTGCCGCACAACATCAAGTGCCACGGGCAACTTGGTAAGCATCAGGAGACAGTGAGAGATGGATGGAAGAGAAACTGGAACTGGAGCCAGTGTCTATCCTCCTATTCAAAAAAAAATAATATTGGCATGGCAGTACTCAACCATGTTACTGCAATACAGTGGCACAAGCCACCTGAGAAACACCGTTTGTACAGACCACATTGAATTCCCAATGCTGTTTGCTGAGCTGCAAGTATTTGGCTGGACTGATTCTACCTGTAAAAGACAGTTCTTGTTCCAAACTACAAATCTGCTATAGTAAAAATGTAAGTCACTGTTATCTATAAGAAACAGTAGAGCATCACTTCATAGCAAACTCAGTTTGCGCCCTATAATGTGGCTCTATTCCAGCTGCAGAATTACTGAACTGTGCATTTGCAAAGAGTTATTTGTAACTCAACAATTTGATGGGGAGGCAGATTCCTACCCCAAACAACATGAGAAGCAGAAGTCAAGATGGTGTACAAATTACACTGTCAAAGGGATATCTATAAATCTAGCATCCCTTAACCTGGTGTATTTTTAGGTAGAACAGCATGGATGTCCAACAAAAAGGGGGGAAAACTCAGTAGAACCCTCGTCCTGCTCTCCCCTTCACCTGCTTTGCAGGCAGCAATTCAGATGGCCAGCAACACCCAAGACAGGCTTCCCCTCTGAAAATCTGAGTTGCCGAGATTTTCTTTAAAAGATCTATAACAGGCCGTAACAGAAAACAAGCCTCTGTCCCTATATGCTTTCTATAGCAGTATATTCATAGGGATCCTGCTAGGTGTAAAGCTACGCCCCCAGCTGCTATAATTCTCAAGCCCATGTCTGATTTGTGTTTCCCAAAGCAGGATACAATGGCACCACTCATATGACCAACATGATCTTCTCAGTCACATCCTTGCAACACCAAGGTCTGTTTGCTCAAAAAGCATTTTTCTTAACTGTGTTACTAATAAAGTCTCAAATCACTCAGGCTGAAAGGTTAGAAGTGTTGTGCAGTTATTCACCCTTCACGCTATTTGTGTGGCATTTGTCTCCTACAGCGCATGCTTTGCCCTTTTCACACTCCCTTTCTCATGCAGGAACACAAAGCTGTAATGTTTGGGTTGCAAACACCATTAAATGCCCCTCTTCAGCCCCCAACAGCATAGAAATATTTTCTTTTAAAAGTTCAGATCAAAGCATTTCTACTAATCCTAGGATTTATTAAAACAAACACTGTAGGCATGAGATAGTCAACAACGTCCCTTTTACAAGATTCTTTGGAGACGGTTCTGATTTCAAACTGTTTACTGATCCGCCCCTAATTAATCTTCAGTTGCTCAGCTGCAAATTCAGCAAGTCCACCTGCTCCTTCCCCACCCAGCAGACGTTTCTCCCCAGTTTCGAGCTGTAATGACAGCACCACACAGCCCCGGTCCTGAGAACAAGGTGGCTTGCTGGGAAAGCTATATATCGCATCCCAATGGTACAAGATCGTATCACACACATTTGCAGCAGAAGTCTAGCCTTTCCTCAGATGAGTAATTAAAACCAGTCATTAAGTGCTTTCAAGGAGTTTCATTGTCTTTATCCTTCCCTGCAGTCAAGGTAGTTGCCTTTGATCCAGTAACAGATCTGTGCGTATTTGAGGGGTGTGATGCGAACAGCTACATTGAAATCCTGTGGGGTGCCATTCATGTCCACCCACTGATGGCCCGAAAATATTCCAATAATTTTACGCTCCCATTTGTGATTCTGCCTCTTCCACATCCTCACGTACACCCCAGATCCACTCGCACCCGGCTGGGCATCGCACTGCTGGTACAACAGGTCATACGTTTCATCTTTGACATCACAGAAACGGTAAACCAGGTTTCCTGGACGATCATTGTCGTAACCAGAGAAGTGAATCCTCCCTCCAGGCAAGTGTCTTGCCGGTGGGCTCACACCTATCTTCATAAACTTTCTTTTATGAGGCTTCTTGAGCTCCAGCAGGGCATAGTCATAATCCATGCCAATGTCATTGGCATTGCCTTTGATCCATCCTTTGGGGACATGTGTCCGTTTCACTCGGATCCACTGGAATTTCATTTTCTCAGGCATTGCTGAGTTGGTGATATTGGCCCCTTTGCTGCCATCTTTCAGTTTGGGCTTTAGGAACCCCACCCGCAGTTTCTGAGCTCCTTTGACGTAACTCTTGCCATCGTGGATACAATGAGCGGCAGTAAGAACATGCTTTTCAGCCACTAGCGTCCCTGTGCAACCTGTAGAAAGCTTCACTGATGTGGAGAATGGGTAATTCAACAAGAAGTCTTTCCCAAAAATGCTAAACCTGCTGTCATAGCCATAGATCTGCCTCTTAGTTCGAGATTTGCCTTGAGACCCATCATCGCTGTTGCTCAGAATATATATGCCCACTTCAGTTTCAGTGAGGCTACCATTAGCGTACAAGGTTTCATAGGACAGGTAGTTCTTCACTTCTTCGTAAGTTGGCAGCGGGGAGCTTTTGTGGCACGCTGGGCCACAGGGAGATACCACTTCCAGTCTGGCTTCAGCATCAAACTGCGGTTTGTCCAAGTTAAGGGTAGACTGTGGCAGGATGACTGGAACTCTGTAAGACGGCCAAGTTGGCTTCCAGTGAGAACTGGAGGGCATCACATCTTTAGCAGCACACAAAAGGAGGATTAAAGTGGACAAGGCTGCCATTCTGAATGCCGGTCTGTGGAAAGCAAAAGGAAGTCCAGTTACTCACCCGAACATGTTGCAAGATTAATCTACCTTGCTAAGCAATAGCTTGCTAACCCAGTATAATATAGCAAGTATAATATGGTGAGGGTCAAGTGATTTGAATGGAACCAACTACCGTTGAGTTCTTCAGGTTTCTCAGCATTAAACTAATACCTTAACATGTATCCCAAAACAAGTGTCCCAGGTTAACACTGACACACGGGGTGTTTAACCCTTAGGTGTGCTGAGCCACCAACTCCCAGCTGACATCAGTGGGAAGTTACGGTATTTGTCTTCACATGGTGTAAAGAAAATTCAGACTCTGTGTAAGTTCCTGCATTCAGACACCATAGGTCCTGCAAAGAGTAAACGTGTCTTACTTCATATGGACTACAGCATCCTCTGAAACCGCCCACCTACCCTCTGACTCCACTGAGAGAGGTCCTTAAATCACCTCACGCTGCTTGCTGTCTTAGCCAGAAGCATCAAGCTGATGGTAGGAACAGGCAGGTGGACAAAGAAGGTCAGCTGAACAGGAGCTGGGCTGCAGAATATGACTGCATGGGAGACACACTTCCCTTGCAACTCATACCAGAGGAAGGTTTCTGCTCCATGTAGCATCCGCTCTCCACTAGGCTCACATGAGAAAGGGTGATATGATTACACGGGGGCAGCTGATGAGGTAAGTTTACAATTCTTGAGGGAGTTTTCAGTTAACATACTGGCTTATTCCTTTATAAACTCAATTAATTAGAAATGCAAACCAACCCCCTCTGAGCACAGGGAGGCAAATGGGACTGTAAATGTGTTTATGAACCACAGGCAAAGTGCCTCAGACTGCAGAGAACAGCGTGCACTAGTACTGTGTCAAGAAAATGTGTAACTTTAGTTTATTTGAAAATTAGCCATACAGCTGAATCGCTGCAGGAGGCATTGCGCCCTGGGCAGGAAGGCAGGCAGGATCTCCCTCATACAAAGATTATTCAAACAAAACTTCACAATTATGTTGAGCTTACACATATTTAAAACCCTGCTGAGGTTACACTGATCACAACTGCAGGATCATTCCTGAAATACCTCAAACGAGTAAACCAAAGCAAATTACGCAGGAGACGACCACAGCTATCTAAGAATAAAAAAAAAAAATCCTTCTCTCTGACGCTTTTTGTAGGAATCCTCTATCTCTAAGCTGCACCAAAAAAGACTTCGGAAGCCACAGACTACTAAAGTCTGAAGGTGTCCAACTCAAATATTGGGCCTGGATTCTTCCATTGTTGGTAGCATCCTCTTTGGGAATGGAGGCTATAATTAAAGCACACAATGTTCAAAATATCAATTGACTCATGCAGGATATCAAAGCATTTCCATTCCAAAAAACAGATGTAGATGAACCGAGCTGATGTTACTGATGCCCACAGAGGCAGGTACTGACTCTTCCAGAAGCTACCAGACATTCTGTTGGTAATTTTTTCATTAACAAACAGGACATTTTTAAAGGGATGTATTTTTTTCTAGAAGGGCTAAGCTCTATAGAATGTGTTGGTTTATACCTAACAGGCAAGTCATGCTAGAAAATACAGGTCATTTTAAGCATGAACTAGAAGTGCATAATTTTGGATGTCCCAAAATTGGAAAATACTTGCTTATGTATTCAAGGAAAACCATCAGCTCCTCTGGCTCCTTCCATGGCAGAGATTAATATTTGATGTGGCTGGGTTTTGCAAGCTATCAAATGAGATGATAGTCTCACGTTGGTATATGGATGGCCCAGGGAACATGTCCTGTATATCAACTATATTTGTTGAATGACAGGGATTAAGGAAAACACAGAAAAAGAAGGTAACAGGAACAAGTGATACCACTCCATCCCCACAAAGACAACACACACTAGCGTAAGTCAACTGTTAACTGTCCTGCTCACGACAGTGAGGGCTGTACACAGAAATGTGTACGGATCTCCTGTTAGAAACCGAGAACAGACTAAATTGCAGTTCTGCTGTGATTCAGGCAGCAGATCCCATTATTAAGAGCACTTATTTATAAGCAGTCTGCTCTCATCTGCTTCACACCAAAGTTATTCCCACAAATTACATCTAAAGCTTTCCTGATAGATGGAATCTCTCTCTGAATTGCACCACTCATGCCACTTCTTGGATCTGAAAATCATTCATGCTAGCTGAGCCAACACTGGCCTTTGGCTGGTTTATTTCTCTGGCAGGGGAAAATCAGAAGTGTCTTGTCAGCTGTTATTTGCACAGGCAGCAAGGTTCCCCCGTGCCTGTCAGCACAGCAGCCTGATGAAGGGACTGTGTGCCCAACAGCTTCTCTGCTTCCTCCGAGGGCATCATCAGGGATGCGAAGAGAAATTACCTCACCCTGCAACCAGCCCTTTCTCATCTCCCTCCCATCGCCACTGCAGCCACGCCGACCCTTTCCAAAGCAGTTTTAGACAGCAGAGGGCAGCCGCCCAATGAAGAGAACAAGACAGGAGCTGAGACTCCAGTTGGTCCCCAAAAAAGGCTTCAGAAGATCCTATCTGTGTCTGTGCTGTGCGCTCTACAGCAGTACTTGCTCTATGTCGTGTCTCTGAGCAAGCCTTCCCACACCCTTCCCCTGCTGCCTCTGTGCTGTGATCACATTCCAGGTATGTGGGATAAAAAAGCCTCTTCATCAGTTACAGAACTTTTTTCTTATTTAAACTGTTGTTAACAATAAAATACAGTTGTGAGTTTATACCTCACCATAGGAGCTAAACAGTGTTCACAAATCAAGGCATTTACTGAAGTCTTTGTAACGATGTCTTACCTGGAGATATAAATGGTACTAAATCAGTTCTGGGCTGCAATAAATAGAATAAATATATTTTATATATAAGAAGATGCAAAATTAGTGCATAGTACCTCTTTCTGGGTAGATCCTTCCTCTTTAAAAAATAAAATGGTTAAGCAGAAAAATGAAGGCATGTAAAAAGTAGTCGAAATTTAAAGAGACACCTACCAGTTAGTCTCTTCTTTCCGATTCCTTTCTCTTTCCATTTTTGTTTAAAACAAAAACAAAAAGCTGAAAAAACCCTGGGGTTAACACTATGTTCAGCTACTTACTTGTGGGTGACCCTGAAAGATGTTCTCAAACAGAGCAAACTGGTAAGAAGCAAGTACTTCCCCGAACAGCTATCACAAAATGATACTGAATGAATTACGATGTGCTGCTCTACTGTAG